GCTGAATCTAGCTTTCCTACTAAAAATATTTATGGAAGAGCAATAAATGGTAATGATTTTGAGCAGCCACAAGAGAGCAGAGCCCTAATTTTGGTCTGTGCCCACTGCAGAGGCTCTGCTGTAACAGCAGCTCCAGGTGTTTGGAGCAATTGCACAATGCTTGTGACATAGAGCCACCCAAGGAGACCAGCTCAACTAAATTCAGCTGTCCCCCAAAACATTTTTGTCTACAGATCTTTTTATGCAGTCATAATAAAAAAAAAAAATAAAAATAATTTTAAAAAAATCCCACAGAACACCCCAAACCTTTCAGTTTAAAGATTCAGTGACAACACAAGACCATTCAGTTTTCCATCAGAAGTGCTGCATTTGTTGTCATACTGGTGCCACAAAGAATTCACCAAGCAGGCAATAACACATCTCATGATAAATAAGACCAAAACACCCTCCAGGCAAATTTATGGAGATAATCACTCACAGGCAAGCGAGATATAAAAGCACCAAGCTAACTTCAGAAGCAGTGAGAGATCTGCTCCTCGGTGAAGTCCCTTCCAAGGCTGGCTGGGTGGTCTCCAGGACACGTCCCCTGCCAGCAAGGCAGGGCAGGGCTGTGAGCCCCTGGGTGCTGCTGTGAGCCCCTGGGTGCTGCTGTGAGCCCCTGGGTGCTGCTGTGAGCCCCTGCCCTGAGCTGGCTCTGCCTGGCTGCTCTGCTCTGGCTCTGAGCCAGGGCAGCTCCCACAGGCTGCTCCACTGTGCCTCCCTCCATCACAGCAGCACCATCAGTCTTTGCTGACTGACCAAAGAAAATGCCTCTCCTGGGGAAAACCAGGGAACTGGTGCTGCTCCTTTGGTGGTCTGGGGGGTGGCAGAGCCTGTCAAGATGAGTTTGTGACTGGGAGACTGGAATAGCTGCTCCACCTGTAAAGTCAGCCAGACCTCCTGAATCTGGGCAGGGAATGATGCTCTCCCCATGGCAGACAATAGCACAACAGCTCCCTGCACAGAAAGCCCTGCTGGATGTGACCCTTAACAAAGGTAAGGGGCTGCTATAAAAGGCCCAGCTATTAAATACAGCTCACTGAAAGCAGTGCTCCACAGATCCCCTGTCCTCTGGACACAGTCTGCCCCCGAACACCAAGCCAGCAGGGCTTGGGAGCTCATTACTCTTTCATGGGAGAAGAGAGAGGCAACACAAGACAGAAGTTTGAAAGAGTTAAATGGAGTGGTCATAGGTTAAACCTTCAAAGATTTTCAGAAAATCTATTGCAACTGTGCCTGGAACTGGACATTCTGTAATTATGCTTTCACAAATATATCATATACCCATATTTACAGCTAAAATCCTCATATATCTAAAAGAAACACTACACTGCAGTGCAGGAACACCAACCCCTCAGTGTGCCACATTTCACTGCAGCCTCTGAGACAAATCATGGCAAGCAGCAAGGGCTGTGCAATGGGACAAAACTGGAATGTTGGTTCAAATGGAACCAGAGCTTCCCAGCAATGCTGGCACAGGAGAGCACTCCGAAAAGCAATCATTGATTCCTTCTAGAAAGCTGCATATTGATACCATTTCCTTTGGGTTCAGCAGAAACAGCACAATAAAAAGAAACACATTTTGAAATACAAATCAAAATACACCAGAGGTTTGCTCAGGAGAGGTGGCGAGGCCCTGCCCTGGGGTGCTGATGAATCTCTGGCTGAGATTCAGAGGAAGAGCAGGGCAGGGTGTGCCTGGAGGAAGGGCAGCCAGCCCGCACAGTGCCACCACAGCAGACAGGGCTGCCAGGCTTCCAGCCAGCCTGGAGCCTCCACGTGCTCCCTCTCCATTACGTGCCAAGTGCACACACTCTCCAAGGGTTGACAAGCAGATTTTTTAAAAAATCCTCCTTGGTCTTCCATGTATCAGAGCTAAATCCACTTCAGTTAAGCCACAGTTTTCCACATTTCCTTCCCTGCAGCCTGCCTTTGACACAGCTCCTCCCTCCACATATTCCCCACATGGGTTTTGGGCTGGTTCTTTGGAGGGAGCCAAGCTGAGTCAGGCACAGGGTGAAGACAGGCAGCCCAAAGTGACCACTCCTTTGGCCACTGGTTGTCCAGCCAGCTGAACTCAGCTCACACACACGGGAACACTCCATGACCACCCCAGCCTTCAAAGCAGAACCTTGCCAAAACCCCCCTCCAGCAGGGCATCCCACAAACACAGAATGCAAACATTTACAGTGAGGCTTTTTAAAAGCACAACGGGGATCCCATCCCACACCAGCTCCCCAGGGAATCAGGCACTCTGCACCATCCAGGAAAACCTGCAGAACTACCTTGCTGATACACTTTGCTGCAGTGAAAGAGAATTGCAAATGTTGTTATTTGCTCCACCAGAATATCAAAGAGGAAACACAGCCAGAGCTCCAGTGAGAAACAGATCCATACCTTGGCACTTGTCCAGCAGGGGTGCAGCTTGGTTTCATTCACAGGGAGGCAACGATGGAAAAGTTCAAGCACAAGTTCTTTTTCCAATTATTCACAAACCATTAAAGTGATATTCAGGGGAAAAAAAAAATCCAAAAGTTTTCTTCTGCAAACACAACTCCCCCTGGCATGGCTGGCACCACATAACTCATAAAGGCTGAATATTGAGTCTGCCTCCTCTGCCAAGCCCACACAGCAGCTCTCAGAAGCACGAAGAGAGTAATTAGCAGCAAGGGATGACAACACGAAGGCAACAGGTCAGAAAGAAATGCTCCAGAGCAGATCCAGGGACTGGTTTGCTTCCCCCAGGCAGCCTGGGGGATGCTCACACCTGAGCACATGGTAATGAGCCAAGCTGCCATCCACCATCCTTCCTTAAATACACTAAAAACATTCAACAATAACAGCTTCTACCCCCTGTTGGGAAGAATTCAGATTTCTGAGCCCACTACAACAGCTGACTGCCCTGACTGCCTCCCCACGAGCTCCACATGAGCTCAGTCCTGCTCATGTGGCCCCTCCCTGTCCTTCCCTCCTCACCTGGCACACATCACCACAGCCAGGTGCTGCTTGAGGAATTCATGGCTCTAGAGGGTAATTTTGACCTCCTTGATAATAAAGTGATGCCACCTGGGCTGATGATCAAACCTGGAGTGCTCTTAGTGAAAGAAATATTTGTGTATTGCTGGTTTAGTTTAGGGGTTGGCAATAATGATGTAGGGTTACAAAAAAAAAAAAAAAAAATCTACAGGCAGCTACAAATGGTGCTGGCTCAATGAACACCTGAAAATCTGGAGGACGGATTTGTCCCTGGTAGGAGTAAGAAGGGAGGAAACAGCCTGTCCTATCCAGCATCCTTGTTGTCTGTACACTAATGCAAGAGTTAGTAAGCACAGTTCTGATTGCACCAGGCAAGTGGAGGGTGCTGATTCAAATGGAAAGGTGAAACGCTCATATGTGTGCTTGAGCCCTGCTGACAGACAGGCTGAAGGAACATCAGGATCATTAGTGATTTCCTTGGAGCAGGGAGATGAACCAGATGCCTCTCCCCTGCCCTGCCTGTGAACGGGGTGGGTTTATGTGGGGCCTGGACTTGTTAGTGCTCAGCCATCTGAAAAAAAAAAAAAAAATGGCACAAAAAGCTCACAGCTTTGGGGCATTTTGGGTCTTTATGGCATTTGCATACAGAGAGGTTTGTCTCAGCATTTCTTTCTATTTGGGAACATTTCCTCTCCAGACTTGCAGATGTTCAGTGCCACCTTTGTCACTTCTCTCTTGTCTTGCTAATCATAGAATAGTGTCAAATCTTGTAAAATTTGCTTTGCCTTTTATGAGTTTGAACTTGTCATCTTAATAACAAATATGTCCACCCTTGTATAAAACCACAATTATAGATTTCTGAGATGTTTAGATAAAGCAGTCATTATTTTTATCGCGGCCCCTCCTTTCCCAAACAAGCATGGCTAATCTTTTCAAAGCAAGCATGCCTAATCTTTCCAGGCTCTCTTCAAGGCACTGCATTATCATGACCCAATTATTCCTGGAAAAGATAGCTGGGAAATTTCTATCAGGATGATTTGCTCACAGAAAATGCAGTTACCACAAATACAGGGATGCCTTCATATCAGTCGGAATGGTTTTCTGAGGAGAAAATTCAGATCAAATATTTCCTGGTCTATCAGCTTGATGAGATCTTGTTTGTTGCCCCATTCTTTCCTAATTGGATAAGCACAGAGCTGCATTAACCCGAGGTGTGCTGGTGATGGCTGGGAATTGCAGGTCATGTATTTAATTTCAGCAGGGCAGAGCACTGCTTTAGTTTTCATTTTCTGACTTTCACTTTGAATTCCCCAGATAAACAAAAGTAAATTTCATTTAATTCCTTAATTTCTTGAAGTCAACTAAAGAGAAAATGAGTAAGTGGTCTGTGCCACTCACTTCTGCTCTTCTGCACCATTCTGAGTGCTCTCAGCAGAGGCTGGGATCCCCTCACTGGTCTGTCCCAGGAGAACAAGGTCTTACCACTGACAGGACAGGATTTACCAGAGCTCAGCAGGGCTTTGAGAAATTCTAGCTGCTTGGAGGTGTCTGAAAGGTTTTCAAATTGCAGCGAGTATATTTGGGATTATTTCTGTTTCTCGGTGTTCTGACTTTAAACTAGGCATATTACAAACAAATAGACACTCTCCAGAAGTCGTGTCACCCCTATCAGATTGCTGTGGCATTAATGAAACTGCCTTCTGGAGAGACTAGGAAGTTTGACATAAACCTGTCCAACCTCAAAGCCACACCAGGCTATGTTAAAGGTAATTTTTCCCATTTCCAAGGCAGCAGCACAGCTTCTGCCAGAGACCCAGCTCCACGAGAGCCCCAGGGACTGCAGCGGTCACTGTCTGTCCCTGAAAAAGGAATGTACATTTTATCCTGAGCACTGAATGGCCATTCACTTTGCTGAAATGTTATTTCTTTTTATAACAGCTTAAAGGAAGGAAAAAAAGAGAAGGAACCTAATGCTGCCACTTTGGAAAGCTTTTATTGTAATCAACCTTACAACGCTTTTTGTTGTACAATACAAAGAACATTAAACCTCTCCTGGCTGGCACATTCCCTCCAGGGTTTTGCTGCTGACAATGGGAGCTTCCACTTTGACCGTGGCAAAAATAGTGTCAAACCCACTGCAAGGCACTGCTTTTACTCAGGACACATTTGGGAAATTCTAAAGAATCAATGACTTCATGACATGAGGGAAAAAATAGGGGTTACAGTTGGAGAGACTTCATATATTTCCTATAAGTTTTGCTTCCCATGATTATCACCATCCCTAAGATGTGTTTAATTTTCATGTTGCAAATGCATGCATGGTTTAACTGTTTGATTAATTAAAAGAAAAATAATTATCCAAAATTATGATATAAGATTTCCATAGCACATGTTATTCCTAAATTTCCCAAAAATCTCTGAATGTGTGGTCTCAAGGCACTCCAGGTAGAAAGGGAAGAGGGAACAGAGGTCTTGGAGTGGAGCCAGCACTGAAGTGTTTGTAGAACTGAAATGTCAGCTTTTTCTTCTTTTTTCATGTTGGTTTAAAGGAAAGTGAAACAGTTTGCACATAACAAGTTTTTGCATGGATATTTTCTAAAGCTCAGGCCAAATTCAACCTCTGATTTTTGGAAAAGGTTGTTAGAAAGTTGCAATTCAAGAAATTCCTCTGTACTTCCAAATTTGTGCCAAGCTTTTAGATGGCTGGATGGAAGCTCCCCAAAAGGATTTGGTTTTGTTCACAGAGAGCCAAACAAGTGATTTCCATCTGGATGACTTCCTTGCAGCTGGGAGAAGCTAACAGCAAACAAGTGTAGGTGTGGACTGAAGGCACAGGCAGTGAGCAATGTGCATGTCCAGCCCCAGGAGCCACAAACACCTTTTCTGTCTAGAGGAGCCCCTTGAAACACCACAAACTCACTCAGCTGGTTACGGAATTTCCTCCTCTCACAGCAGCTGTGTTTTCCACACTAAAGGACATTTCAGCATCCAGATTGAATCTGCAAAACCAGCCAAAGCCAAATGAAGCTAGGCTTATATTTTCACTCTGCCAGAGTGGCATAAAACAGGATATTAGAGAAGAAGAGTAAATTTGCTGAGATGTGTGTGAAGCTCATGGAGAGGGTCCCAGCAGGTCTCAAGGCTGTCACCTTCCCAACACTGTCCCACAGGTCAGAGAGAGACTGTGGCACTTGTCTGCCTTGTGAGGGACAGTCCTGTACTGAGAGCAGCAGATAATCAGAGGGAACACAGCGTTAGACAGCCCAGGGACTGAAAGGTTCTGGCATGAACTGCTCAGGAAACATTTCTGCATGTGGTGCACACAGCGTGTCAAAACCAGGCATGCAACTTCCTAGCAGCATGCAAATAAAAAATAGGTCACAAAATAGGTAATAAAAAATAAATCCCTTCTGCTGGCTAGTATCCCATTGAGTGTTTTGATGAACCTTGATTGGGATCCTTATGGAATAAAAAAGAGTAAGTAGATCCAGGAGAAACTGTGTTGGATAAGCTCTCATTGCTCTGAGAGGTGCCAGATAGTAAATAATCCATCTTGGGGAGGCTCTGAGAGGCTGGAGAGTTTTCCCATCTGCTGGAGATCTTTCTTAGTCTTGACTTGGATATAAATGCAGAAGGCAGGTCACACTTAAGCTGCTGCTCTGTAACCTTCCAGATGATAGGTAATTACTCATAAATGTGTCCTACAGATGCTCCAGGGATCCACCTGCACATGCCTGCCTGAGAGCTGATGGTTCTGGTTGAGTTCAGAAGAGACCAGAGCTCTGTGAGGAGTGGTAGATTTAGGGGATGCTCAGTAATTCAATTTTGCAGGCTCTGAATAGAAAATAATAAAGCAATGATAAGGCAGCTAGTAATAAAATTACATTTATTTTTGGAAACCAAAGAATTGTACAGCTATGGGAAAGCAGGTAGCTTGCCAAGTGGGCACAGCCAGCCCACCCTCCAGCTCCAAGACTTATGGCCACCATGGGGCTGAGACATGCTTGGCCATCCCATAAAGAATTCCACCACCCCTTAATGACATATCCCTGGGCTTCAGAACATTTTTGAGTGGAAAGTGGATTTTTCTGGCCATCCATCCTCAGTGCGCTCTGGTACAACAGCGTTGTTTGCCCATCCCCTGGCACTGGTGACCAGCCTGGTTGTGGCTGAGACTGCTGGTCCCTGCAGCAAAGGGGCTGGGCTGGCACAGCCTGCAGGGACCGGGCTGGGTGAGATGCAGGAGGTGTGTGGAGGTGGGAGCACAGAGCATACAATCATCTATTTCCACTGGCTGGAGACAACCAGAGAAATAAACGAGCTCCCAAATCACCCAGGATAAGTTAGGACACTCACTGCTTTCTGTGAAATTAGTAGGGAGGCTTGCAATTAATTCAACACAAAGAGGCTTGTGCACTGACCATCATTTCTCTGCTGCTGGAGAGAACTGCTTGGCAGCTTTCTGGAGAAGGAAAACTCTGTAGCTGAGACAAAGCACATAGGTGGGCAGGCAGCTGTGATAAAACCACAGGGAACAGGGAAAATGAGAACCATCTCATGCAGGACTTAGAAATGGAATAAACAGGTTATTTTTACAGGATGGAAAAGAATATATAACTCCTGGGATGAGGGAAAATACAGCAAGTACCAGCATTTGTAGTTCAGCACATTCCATTGCTATTAAAATAAAGGAAGAAAAGGGCACTGAAAGGAGGGGTATTTGGAGAAGCAGACAGGAGTGTGGTATCTGTAGTTCTGTACTCTGCCTTCTGCATAGCCCACAGTAATGAGAGATGTGACCCCGTAATCTGCTGCAGAATTGCTGGTCATTTTCCACTGCCATTAAGATGCAGGATGGGAGCTGTTCTTGCTCTCACATGGACACTTAGACAATTTTTCTTTCTTTGCAGTTTGAGGCAATCCACACTAACAGTCTATTGGACTGGCATTTTCTTTGCCCCTCAGGATGGAAAAATGGAATTGATTCCTCTGAGAAGGAAGGGAGCAGGTATTCATTATCATAAAGTGAATTTGTAAAGTTCTGGTTGGTTCAGCTCTTCCCCTTCATTTTTTCAGCTCACTCCAAGTCATTGAACCTCTTGCATCTTATCCCATTGGATGGAACAGCAAATCACTCAACATTATTAACCACAGCCAAGATCATTCTTAATATTGAAAATTAGCAGCAAAAAGTGAAGGATCACCTGAGAAAGCATTTCTCCACTTGAGCTTTATGACCTGCAACAGAAAGTTTTGCAATGAACAACAGCTCATTGTCACTTGGAATGGTTCTGAAACTGTTGCTGCTGCTGTACTTTTCCACCACAGTGAAATCTGGTATTAACCTTGAGGCACTCAAAGAGCTCAGGTCAGAGGAGCAGACCTCCTGCACTAGTAAAGCACAGTAACTACACCCATTTTAACACCCCCAGTGCACTGATCTGTTCTCACAACCAGGCTTGTTAAATAAGGAATAATTTCCCTGCAATGTGTAAGCAGCCACTGCTGGATAGTGAGTGGCCAGAGAGCTGGAGATGGCATTTGGTGCTGGCATGGGGCTCTAAATTAGAAACTCTGAGAACTACTTGGCTTTTCTCATCCCTATTTCTGTTGTTTTTCAGCACGTGGAAGAGGTTCAGATGAGCACACACCACTCTGAGAAGACCCAAGGCTTTCTGCTCAGAGCAGTTCTCCAGGTCAGAAGCAGAGCAGCAAGCGCAGGGCTAGCTGGGGCTGCTCTGAGCCCTCCGTGCTGAGCCTCTGGAATTCTTCTCTCCTGAGAAGCAGAGGCTGCACGGTTGTACCCTCTTCCAGCCATACTCAAGTGCTGGCCATTGAAAATTACTGTCCCAAAAATAAGACAAGATGTGGTTAAGTCTCATATGCAATTTCTTTTCAATTCCTACCATCAATTATTCCACTTGTCTGTAATGGCTTCAGACTCTTATCTTCCTCTCAGTGGATTTCTCTGCTGCTTTGCATTTAAATTCACCTTGTCTTCCTAAATGCACAGACAAACTGTAAGCAATAAATGAGCCAGGCAAAAACAAACGTGTTGTTATTTTCTTGGCTTTCTTTGCCGTCCTGAGCAAAGGATGTTTCTATATCCCTTTGAGAAAGCCATCCAATGATGAATAACTATTTGAAAACAAATGGGTAGGATTGCACCAGACACCTACTTCTCAGCCTTAGAAAGAGTAGGAAAATCCACCCATCCATAAATATTTTTTAGGATGATAGTTGTGAAAATAAAGTAGGCTGGAACGTTCCCTATCAGGCCAGGCTGGAGCATTCAGCTTATATCAATTACTGTCTATTTGACATGCTTCATGCTCCCTTCATTAACAGGATGAAAGGTTTTATGGGATAATAACCCAGTTCCAGTGAGCAAATGTATTTGTGAGACCAAAGTCTGAGTCTTTTGTCCTTGCAGAAGGAGCCTTGAGACTGCAGCAATTGGCAATGGTGTAGGATGGATAAATCACAGGAGCAAAACTTCTGTCCCACAGAGCACTGTCCCATCCATGAATCACTGAGGACAAAGGATCCTCACTGCAGGACAGCTGAGGGAGCAGAGATCATCTTGGTGAGGATGCTGCAGGAGGGAAACAGAAGAGCCATTGGCTTCAGTTGGGTATTGAAGATGCTGTAATTGGAGTTACTGTCATGTTAAATGGTCCCTCATGGTTTCCTCATCTCAATCAAGGTTTGATTGAAAACCTGTGACCTGAATTTGTGGTCATTACCTTACCTTATTGGTTTGCTCGCTCTTCAGGCAGCAGGCAGATGGTAATTGTTTCCTAAAACATTTCTCAGCTGAACAGCAGTGACAAACACTCTTCTCACCTCAGAAAATCCCAGAGCACATTACAAACTGCCTGGGCAAAGAGGACAGATGTGTTTTCCTTGGATCTGGCAGGAGCCATGCAATAGCCACTCTCTCAGGGAAGGGGTATGCTTGGCTAATGGAAAATAATCATACCTGGCTTTCCACCCCAGCTGTCCCACTGTTAATCTCATTGTACCTGCACTCAGATTATCAGTAGGCATCCTCTTCTCCTTCTGCCTCAACTAATTACATGGAAAATCTCCTGTCCCAATGCAACCAGAGCAGACTGTGAGTAAGAATGGAGGAGGGTATGCACTAAGGGATTGCTAACAAGAGGCAAACACTCTTTAATGCTCTCCAAGTTCTCCATTCCTCCACTGGGGCCAGCTGAGTTAGGACCCAATGCATGTTCCTTCTTGCAGCCTGACTTTGCTGGGTGCAAAGAGCATAATTTTCCTCTGCCTCTGGTTTCTGGCTGTGTGGGACAGGACTGCATGGCAGGTTCTTGCTGCTAGACTCTTATTTCAGTTCACACAACCCATGCACCATACAAAGAACAAAAAACATCCACACAGATCAAATATTATCACACAATGGCATCAACATATCTGATTGTACAGACCTAATCTATGTTCTGTATAAAAATGTGGTATTCAAAACCCCACCATGTGAGATATAACCTGACAGGAATCGCAGTAAGGACTTAAGAGGGGTCTGTACTCATGGCAGAAGAAATCAAATTAGTAGTACAGAAATTATTTGCTTTAAGCACAGACCGTGGACTGAACTTAGAGCCCTAAATCAGTGTTTACCTTGTTGAATGATGGGTTCTTGCAGGAGAGCATTAACTACAAAAACAAAGCTTTTAATCCAAATCAGTGAGTGTCAGAGTTTGAATTATGGCTGTAAGAGAAAGTCTTTTGTTTCTGCCACCTCTTTAGTCAATGCTAATTTGACCAAGGTGTGAATGAGTTAGTGTTGCTCCCAAAAAATCTGTGACGTGCAAAGAGCCACCTTCTCCCAGCACACAGAGCCTTTGGAACTCCTTTTAGACATCCTCAGAGAGTCTAGATGAAAAATCTGCCTTCAGATGGTGGAAGACAGGTCAGTAACTTGCAGGATATTTATGTCAAGAAGCAAAGTCATGGCTACAACAAAGCAACTGAAGAAAGGAGAGGTGCACAGTGGACACACACTGAAAGTTTCTACTAATCTGCTCCAAGGTGAGACTGAAGGGCAACAACCCTGCCCAGCACAGGAGAGGAACAGCACGTCAGGAGACAGGAGCAGCCTGTGGAGTTCTGCAGCAGGAGATTTGGGAGACACAAGGTCACTCTGTACAGGGAGGTATGAATTGCAGAGCCACCTCAGGTGGGGTGAATATTAGCTCACTGCAGCACTTGCTCCATAAAGCATTATTTACTCAAATACATTGGGGTTTTTTTCACTTTTTCTGGTCTGCAGTTATTTTGTGCAGACCCCACGGTCTCACTGGAAGCTTCTACTTGAAAAGTCTCCTTTAGCATCTCTCAGAATTGGGAGAGATGCTAAACTGGCATGGCAAAAAAATAACAATCATTTGGGAGCAATTGATATCCTGCTGTTATAGACTTGCAAACACTCATTTCCATACCACCTACAGTTATGTGTGCATCTCTTTGTTCTGATATTGAAAAAAAAACCCATTTGTATTCTTTCAATACAAGCAATCCTTGGCTTGAATTTTTAGTTGGTCAAATAATGCTAAAGAAGGAAATACTGGAATTTCTGCCTGTGCCATGGGACTATTCAGGCAGGCAAACTCTATTACAGCCATGGTCTTATCAAAGGAAAGCTAAATCTCCTCATTAAATCCTGGTTGCTGTTATTTTCAAGAAGAGAGCCTCTCTACTGCAGGCAAAATGATGGGAATGTGAAAAGCAGTGGTGGCAGCCTGCAGAGGAGCTGTGTGTGGAGCCATGCCGGGGGAAGGGGACAGCCACCCCTGCAGCTGGCACTGCTCAGCATCCAGATGTGGGGACAGCCACATCTGCTGGGCCCCAGCTCCCACCAGCATGGCCTCTGGATCCTTGTCATCAGACACAAGCCCCGTGTTTGGCACATGAACACAATCTGGCATCCCTCTGCCTCGCCTGCACAGAAACCAACCGAGCAAAAAGCCACACATGTACTTTTGCCTCCTGCCTGTGACTGACCTCTGCACATCAGAAATTCAGTCAGGAAGGCTTCATTTGACAAGGACACATGCCAAAGCTCACCTTTCCAGAAGGATGTCCAAATTCTGAACCAATAAGATAAAAGTAAAGCAATTAAGAGCACACTCTAGTGGAAGTGGCCTTGAACCTGATTTTGTGTATTCATTTTTAACTATTCTTTGCATCCTTGGGCTAAATACTTTAGCCTGAATGCAGCAGAATATCCAACCAGCTAAGGCCTAGAAGATTTCAGGTACAATGCTAAAACAGAGCCCCATAGCATCTCCACTAGACTTTTATTAGTCTGTCGTCTGTTAAAATGGATATAAAATTAGCCCTGCTTTCCTACAGTCTTACCTTTTTGGGGAGAAGGGGAAAAGCAGAAAATATGGAGAGAGGATGAGGTACAAAAGCTTGTGACATAAGGATAATTCTGCTTATTTAACAAAGAAAAACATCTTAGAATATTACCTTGTGAGGGATGCAGTTTGAAAGCAGTCTAAGAGGTTTTCAGTAATTATGGTTAATGTATCTAGAAATAATCTAAGTGGTTAGTAAAATGTTTATATTTATGTTATATGAAACTATATATTAAAATTGCTTTTTTGACACTTCAAATGCAGGAAGCTGTCTACTCCTTTTACTAACACTCTTAAGAAATGTTAATAAGACTTTTTCTTGCAATATTTTAAATGGAAGAGGTGGTGTAAACAAACCTGCAGATGTGTCTCTTTGCTCTGCTGGGGCATCCAGCTGTCCTTCAACCCACCAGACAGACTTTTGTTTACATATTCCCCATAAAATTGTTCAAGAACCTTTAACTCAGGCCAGGATCCAAAGCTCTGTGCATTCAGTGGACAAAGAGCACATTCCCTGACACCCACTCCCCCTGCTGAGTCCCCTGGGGGACATTAATCCAATTATAGGTGAATGTAGGATTTAGAATGCTGGGAAGTCATATTGAGAGATTATTTTTTAAACTTTGTTGGTAGTACCAGAGGCTTGGTTTTTGTGCCAATCCAGCTCGAATGAACCTAACTCTACCTCCCTTCAGTGGAGGCACCAACCTCTGCCTGGGGGCCTTGGTCTCTGCTTGGCCAGGCTGGGAGGGACAAACCTGCTGCTCCACAAACCTTGGGCCAACAGGCCTGGCTGTAGCTTTTGACACTCTGCTAAGCAAGGGAAACCTGGAATCAGTCAGGCCTTACTGAAAACTCAAATCAAAGTTAGCATTTAATTTATTCTGAACGATTTTAAATACCCCACCCCTCCAAAACAGCTGTAGTTCCCATTGTACCTACACAGGCTCAATTGCCACAATATTTAACTACACATAACAGAAGACACAACCTTCACTATGCCTTTAATTCTGAAAATATACTACTAAGAAAACATTTAAGTCTTTGCAAAGTAAGTTGGATTGTTTTCCTTTTGCTGTTGCTCCTGTTTCGTTGCTTTTTTTTCTGAGAGCAGACTGGATTGACTACAAAAGAGGAAGACGAGTTAAAAGTACAAAATCTATAAAAACCTAGTGTTCCAAGGAGCAAGCACTTGCACCTAAGAAATCTTTGTTGATTGTTGCTAATATCTATGATAATCAACCTAAAAATACCCACAGAGCAATAGAATTTGAAGAGATAAGTCTATTGTCTTAAGCAAATAATGAAGCCAGGCACAGTTAAATTGATCTCATGACTCTCATTTCAATAATAAAGCAGCAACAACTGTTAATCTATAGCACTCAGTTTAAATTACAAACCCAGAGCTGAATGGGCAATTTCATTAGAGAGAACACAGCTAAGAGAGAAACAGCTGGCAAGGAAAAAGAGTCATCCCCATTGAAATCCAACCTTCCTGAGAATTCCTCGTTGCTCTGTACCCAGCCTCATCCCCAGGGAACTGTTCTCACAAATACCAGGTGGATCCGATGGAAGCAGTTGGTGTCCAAGCAATTCCCTTTGATTTCAGCCCCAGGGCCCCCAGGACCAGGGGGCTGGACCAGCTGTCCCAGGCTCCTTGGGTGGCCTGGGCACAGCTCCAGGATGGACACAGGGGCGCCAGGAAGGGCAGGGAGAGGGAGCGGAGCAGGTCACCCCCACATCTGCCTGGAACCACCCCACAGCGCTGTCAGAGAGGCTCAGGACACACGCTGTGTGTCCCCAGGGATAGCAGCAGCTCAGAGAGCAGATGGGAGCTTTTCCCTCTTTTTATTCTTGTCCCCGAAATTAACACATGGTCTGCAAGCCAATCAAACTCACCCACGGATACCAGCACTGCCTAGAAGAGACAGTTATCTTTTTAAATTAGATCCTTTCAAACACTTACACAGATCCTTGGATATTGCAGGGGCTGTGGAACTGAAACCAATGAACATCCACAGTAGGTGAGGGGAGGAAAGGCTTCCACCATCTCTCCTGGCAGCTGTACAGAGCTTATGGGAGAAAGAACGTCCTGTTCTCACTGAAGGGAGCAGGCAGGACTATAAATATCCACATGGAGCATATTTACTGAAGGATGGAGTGCCATACTAACAACCATTTTTTTCATGGTAGGACCAAATTTCACAGGTATTAGCAACTTCCTGAAATAAAGTCAGAGAATCAGAGGATAACTGAGGTGAGAAGGGACCTATGAAAGCTCCCAGTTCAGCCTCCTGTTTAAAGCTGGGACTACTTCTATGCTAAGGGAAGTTGTTGAGGGCCTTTCCAGTTCTGTTCTGATAAATCTCAAGGATGGAGAGCCCACAGTCTCCCCAAGGAATATGGCTCCTGTGCTGCACAACCCTTATTCTGAGGATTTTTCCCCATATACAAACAGAAGGAGTTTCCCTTGCTGCAATGCATGACCACAGCCTTGTCTTTGTGCAGCACTCTGTGGCAGAGTCTGAATCCATCATCTGTCCTTCCCTTTCCATTAATGGTAGACAGTGATTAGATGCCCCCTTGTCTTATCTCCCCCAGGATAAAATAACCCAGCCCTCAGAGCCTCTCCTGAAATACCACGTGCTGCGCTCTCCTGAGCACCCACTGACTTTCTGCTGGACTTGCTCCCCCTTGCTGACCTCTCTGTGGCCCAGGAATTCACCAAACCCACAGTGTCCACCTGAGCTCAGCCTCACAGGGGCTGAGAGCAGTGTCTGACCTGTGGCCACACATGAACAGCCCAAAACACAGGCAGGTGTCACCACCTTAAATACACCTGCAGTGCCCCAGGTCCTCTCTGCAGAGCTCCCCGAGCTGTCAGCCTCGTTATCTGTCAGGTTCTCGTTATCCTACTCCTCAGCATTCCCAAGGTTTTTGCCTATCATTAAAAATGGACCTAGAAGGTCTGGTGACATATTCTGTGTGTCTTCATGAAAAAGAGGAATGGCTGTCTCCTGTGCATTTAGCCTGTCTCCCTCGTGCCATGGTGGTTTACAGCAACATCACATTCTTAACCCCCAAGTTCCAGCTGACATCATCAAGAGTTTTAGAGCCTGTAATGACCTTGAGAATGCTCCTGCACAGCAGCAGGATCAGGATGTCAGCATTACTGCTGGAATGGGGCTGGTTTAGCAGGACTTTGCTGAAGAGGAAGGAAGATTGAGTTGCTTCTCGAGCAGAGGTGGGGGGTGCTGTTGACATCTGTAACCAGATCCCTGTTTAGGATTCTGTTAGCAAAATTTATCTCACACATTGAAGCCTCATTTTTCCCATAGTAAGAATATTTCTTTCAGCTATTTAGTTTGCATTTCATGAGACCTTCTGCAGACGCACTGAGCTGTATCACTCTATTCTGCTCATAGAGCATCCTGAGATCTAGATGCTTCAAAACCTGGGTGTATTGTAATGACTGTATAGAATATCTCAATGAAATTCTACATCTGCATCCTTGATAATTCATTTGATTTCAAGTGGAAATATTTATTGCGGCTTTTTCAAATGCTGATATAAGCCATGGAGTGAATGTTCACAAAACTCAACCTCCTGTGCCCAGATTCTTCACAGAGTTCATCCTATACATGGGATCTCTTTTTTAACAGGAGTTGTGTAAAATATTGCCTCTCCCTAATGAAATTTCTATTTTTCTCCTCTCTTGCTGCTATTACAAATGCATTGTACAAGTACACCATGGTTGTGCTTCTTTAATTTTGTTATAACACCCAGAGAATAATTAGTTCTGTATCTTCTAACAACAAACAAATATATTCATTCAAAACTTAAATATTTACTTGCCAAAGAGCCATCACAAGTTGTCATGAGTGCTTGTCTTCATTATGTGTGGGAAATCAAATGGACTTTGTACCATAATTCTGCTGGTATAATAAAGGATTATGACCAACAGGGGAAAAGTGACCCCATTTGGTTGGAAAGCAACACCCCCTTCTCATAAAACTTTACTTCATATTGCAACAAGCTCAGGTCTTATCAAATACAACAAGTTCAGACTTTACTGTACTGAGACAGCCTGTCTGCTCAGGAGGTACAGGACTAACCTAGTTTAGATTTGGAGAAAACCTTGGGTGGTACCAAATATCCAGTGTTAGGTGAAACACGTGCAGCCAGAAGAATTCTCATTCCCTTCCCATCTGCCAACGTAGCATTGATGAAGTGGGAATGCTCCAAATAAAAAATACAGCCAAATTTATTTAAAAGCCCCAGAATCAACGTATGGAAAGCTAAAGGCAGACAGGTTACCCAAATATTTGCACCCAACTCTAGCTGCTTTGTCCTTTCTTGCCTGGTGGGGATAGATCAGAAAGCGTCTAAGATCCTCTTTTGGGTCTCATTTTAACAGATCATAATTGTGCACAACCCATTGTCTACAGCTGAAAATAGCACTGGGACTGTTTTTGTAACAAAGATGCATTACATAAGATGTGAATACATTTCCTTAGCATTTACTGGACCCAAAACCTAGAAGTCCCCTAATTTCTCTTTCTTGGACACATCAGTTTTAAGTAAAACCCTCTGCCCTGTAGCTGGGGCTCACAATTTACACTCCTACACAGCACATTCTGTTATCCTCCACGTTTGTTTGCTGGCACTGGGGAATCTGATTTTTCCCCATCTTCTTTGGAACATCATGATGCTGGAGGTTTGGAATTTTGACCCTTGCCTTCAGGCTATTAAACACTTGTTCCAGTCCTTTTAGCTTAGATATCCCAACTCCAGCTGGCTTTAGGAGGTCAAAACATATAGAGAAGACCTTTAGCTTTTTACATCAACTAATCTATTGCTAAACCAGCAGCAGTCTCCCTCTCTCTGCAGATATGCTAACCTCCTGTCACTGCATGAAAGGGTTTAACAGTTTCTAGGGCACAGAATACACTCAAGCACAGAATTTTGAACTGCTTTCACCATGGATTTCATGTACAATTTGAGGCTTGCAAGGTATTACCCAGATGAGACACGACAGTTGTGCTTTTCCAACAGAAGTAGCAATAGCCACAAACACATGACCTGTGACCACGCTCAGGTCCCAGCAAAGCCCTGCATGGTCGGATAAGTCAGGTGTGCCCCAGTGCCATAAAGTGCCAGAGCTTTCTGCCCACACCTGGGGCTCTGCCCGGGCACAGGCGCAGCTCCCTGCGGGCACAAGGCACACCCGAGAGCTCTGTGTCCCTCCACTTCCCTGCACAGCTCTGCAGCCTCTCCAGCCTCTTCCACACCTTCCAGGGAGGAGTTATGCCCAGCTGGAGAGCAGAGCTAGGCCCAGCAAGTGTCCCATGCTGCCTGCAGCCACCCAGCTCTGGTGGTGACTGGGCACAGCCCAGGCCAGGTTACTGCATTCCCAGCGTGTGAAAAAACTTCCTAAGCCACTTTTAACCATGTTTAGGATAGAGGTTTAAGCCCAGGCTTTAGATAAAAAATCTGTTGTGTGTTTCTAGGCATGTTCACAACCCTGAAACAAAGGGAATCTCACCCTGGTGATCCATGGCCAGGTAATGAGTTAAGGGCTGCATGTGGCTCTGTGCTGGTCACAGGGAGCTTTTCCAGGAGCAGGAAACAGCCACACTGTCAAATTTCGCTCCTTGGGAAGATACCTGGGAACACTTTTCCAGCACTGGATCAACTGCCTCAGTCTTCCAGAGTTGCCTTTTCTTCTCCTTACCTCTCCCTGCCCAGCTCTGGATTCAGGGATGCTTAAAAGCCAACACATGTAAAGGTTCTTTGATCTCAGCTGTTACACAGATAACTAGAAGGTAGGCCCTCCTCAAATGCACTCCAGCAGTGATTTTCTGGGAAAACAGGCAAATTTTGACAGTGGGACTTGAGACAAACAGCTGAAAAGCAGTTATTTCACCAAAGAACTGCCTGTGCTCAGACAGCTCATAAAAACAAACCTGACAGAGTTTGTCCTGATGTCACTTTGGCCCTGAACAGATGCAAACCTGCAAATCCAGGGCAGTGTGGAGCAGTCTTTCTCCCCCTTCCAGAATGAATAGGAAAAAACTGGGTGTTGCTGATGTGCTGAATACTGAGGAGTAGATACTCTCAAATAACTTTCCTGGCCAGGACCCTTCAGCAAGGAGTTTAAATCTGCCTCTTGGTCCTGCAGAGGAGATCTGTCACGAAGGAACAGAGCTGCTCACTCACCTTCCCATATGTCATCTCCAGCAGCACTCTGACTGTCCAGAACATTTCTATTATCCACCTGTCAGTGCTAAAATGGAGAAAAGGAAAAATATGGTGTGTTCTGTAGATGACATTTTACTGAAAGGGTAAGGAATGGTTTCAATAGTGTGTTGAAAAGCATGGTACATTTTCTATATCAGGATCATTTTTTTATCTCAGGGTGTTCATTTAGGGAAATAAGCTATCACTGGAACTGAAAGTCTTAATGTATTGGATATTTGCAATTAGATATTTGATTATGTTCAATATACAGTATCTTTTGATGTGCTAGTAGCCAAATGCTGCTACAACCAACACACTGATGATGACTAGTCTATCTTCCCAACAGCAGTGTCACCAGTGTCACCTTCTCAGCAGATGGACACCTGTTTACACATCCTCATCACCCCCATGTGCTGTGTCAGGACTGCAGATGACACTCCAGGGAGGGCTGTGCTCCAAAGGGATGTGTCAACACCCCCTTGGACAGCAGCACCCACTGGGCTGGTCCATGCAGCCCTACACATGTACATGTGGATTATCTGAGGTCTGTACAGCCCCTGAACTGGTCTGGAAAGATGCTGAAATTAATTAGAATTATCATTAGCTGCTTGCAATGCCTTGTAGTGAGCTAGAGCCTGGGCTGCCACCCAGCAGGGGTGACAGTCTCCTCTCAAACAGCCCTACCCCAAAAATACCTTCACATCTCAGAATCTGGTCCTTTGGAAGCCATAACAGCTGAGGATTTTCCAGATCTGCAGAGGGATTTAAGCAGCTTGCTGGGGAGCAGACTCTCCTGAAACATTGCATCTCAATGCTGACATCCCCTGGGGGGAGAATAAGTAGGAGTTAGGACTTAACCTTTTGGGATGACAGTATGTGGCATATGCTTGAGATAATCAGTGGAATTGCTGAGTGAAAAGCTGTATTATCTTGAAATAAATATGGTTCACCCAGAAAGGTATTAAAACTCAGCTTCATATAATATGAACAATTGTTCACATCCTGGAGCATGCAGCCCTGAGCAGTTACTACAACAAAAAGGGATTAAGTGCCTCTAATTATTATTCCTGTTATCCAAACATTTTGCTATCAGTGAGCCTGTAATAAATAACCACGACACCTCATGGGTACAGCTATCAAATTTACTGTCACTAGCTGAGCTGCTCTGATTAAGAGCCAGAGTTTTTCCAGTAAACACACAGATCCCTCTCTAAGGACTGAAGAACAAATGAGAACTGAAAATCTAAGGGGGAGAAAGGAAGGGCTACCAGGTGAGCCTCATTCTTTGCTCAGAATGTCATGTTTCTGTAAATATAAAAGACAGTGGTAACAGAGTCCTTACCCACTCTCAGGGACTCCTCTCTTGTGTTATCCATCAGTTATTCCAGAGGCTGGAAGCAGCAGAGTGCTGTAGTGCTCATGGCACATCCCTGTACTAGCACAGGAGAGAGACAGTGTGTCCTGTCCTGGAGACCTTCAGCAACATGAGCAATCGTCCTTTTCCAGGCTGCTTTAAAACACCTGTAAAATAGGCTGAGTTACTTAAAGCTACCCTGATGCTTAAACTTACAGCTGAGCTTTTCAAAATAGATTTCATGACCCTTCAGAGACAGACACTTAACACGGTTAGTTTATGTTTACTCAGCTTCCCCCATTTTTATTTTGGTTCAGCAGCAATTTCTGGTGAAGTTTCCAGCCCAAGTCTGTAAAGGTTTAATCTTTGGTAGTGACAGAACTAGAAGCAATCAAGGAGGAGCCACCCTCTTAGATAAGGTTTTGTAAATTCTAGACATTCAAGGTGCAAATAGCTGAAATAGATCAGTTTCCATCTGCTAGTTTTTGTTTTCATGTTTTGGAGACAATAAATGCTTTTCCAAGTTCCTCTGAGGATTTCAGCATTGCCTTACCCTCTGTTTTTTCCTGAGAAACATGATGAAACAGAAAACGTATTTCCATTCTCTTTGGGCATCTCCTGCTGGGACATAAACACGCTGCCCCACCTCAGAGCCTGCCTTCGGCCACCTTCACTTGGACCCCAGCCATAAGTGCTCTTTATCAACTTTAAATGTTCCAGTGCTTCTCTCAGTGCTGCCCTCACTCCTGTCCAAAGTCTCCCTTCTTGCTGCTGAGCTGGCATCTCTTTCCCATCCTTTGCCTCCAAGGATCCTCTGCACTGGGCAGTGAAGCCTCATGGCAAGCTGGACTCATTTCGCTGGACACAGTACAGTCTTTGGAAACTTACACAACTAGAACACAGAGTAGCCCTGTCATCCCTGTCTGGAGCTCTACAAAATCCCCTCGGGTCTGGGAAGGTACAAACTTCAGTGGGAGCTTTCTCTGTGCCTGGGGCACTCACAAAATCCAGCTGGACCCTCCAGCATCAAGTGAGACCTGGCTCTGTGGCATCTTCTCCTCACCTCAGGCAGCTATGGTTGTGTTCGAGGGTCCCAGGACAAGGGAAGAGATGAGAATCTTGACTCCATGTTTCAGAAAGCTGATTTATTATATTATGATATTATATTATATTAAAATGCTATACTAAAACTATACTAACAAGAATAGAGAGAAAGGATCCATCAGAAGGCTGGAAAGGAAGAGAAAGGAATGATAACAAAAGCTCATGACTCTCAGAGAGTCCAAGCCAGCTGAGTGTGATTGGCTGTTAATTAAAAACAACCAACATGTACCAATCAAAGATGTACCTGTTGCATTGCACAGCAGCAGATAATTATTGTTTTTCTTTTCCTCTGAGGCTTCTCAGGAGAAAAAATCCTGGCAAAGGGATTTTTCAGAAAATATCATGGTGACAGGCAGCAGGGATTGCACTGCCCCTCTGTGGCTGTGAATCTTACAGGAACCAGGTCTGTAAGCCACCATCCCTCTATCAAACTGGTGAAACTGTCTGACAGTGCCAGAAGCTTTTAGGAGGGATGGACAGACACACAGAGTGTGGAGAAGCAAAGTCCAAATCTGTTCTTTGAACCTGAACTCATGGAAGTGCACTCTGCCTGGGCTGTAGAGGGGGGTCTCAGCGGTTTCACCTCTTCTCTGGGACTCAGCCCTGAGATGGTTTGCAAACGTGGTTGTTTACTCTTTGCTCCTCCAGATAAACTTTTCCTTCCTTGCTATACTGTGGTAATCTCCCCTCAGCAGATGAAGTGGCTCCTGCTGATCTCTCCACAGGGCCATTGTTTGTTGCTGTAACAATCAGAGGAGCAGCAGGAGGGGTTTGAACAGCACACACAGCTCAGAGAAGATGGGAAGAGAGAAGGAGAGGGCAGAGGGAGAGGCAAAGGAGACACATAGAGGAAAAAAGAAGGGGAAAAAGAAGATGAACAGGCTGGTTTCTCCTAAAGGTCTACAGTTTCCCAGGAAGGACAGAAATGTTATCCCAGCTGCCCCTGCTAAACACAGGACAGACACAGGGATGGCAGGCTCCTTTCCTGCTCCAGGCAGCTGAGCAAAAGCAGCTGCTTCCTGAAGAGCCATAGGAACTTGTGGGGCTGTTCCTCCTCATAGCTGAAAAGGACTCTCACAGATGAGAAAGTGTTTCCAGTCCCACCTCACTGATTTTCCAGGAAACTCTCTGAAGCATCCACCAGCAGTACCCAGAAATGAATTCCTTAGAGCCAGAGCAAAACAAAGAGAATATGGAGAGGCAGCAGAAAGTCAAGGGGAAGGAAGGCTTGGCAGAAAGTAAAGTAGCTTCTTTTCTTGCTGGAGTTCTCTATCCTGTAATTTACCTACAGCAGAACTGTGCAAATTTGCAATAATTGCTGGGAGACCCATTGTGAGCTACTGAACCTTATGAATTACAAAGTAATTGGAAAAACACAATGAAAACAATGTTTTGCTCCATAAAGCATTCCTAGTTCCTTTACTGGGATGGCTACAGGTCTAGTTATTTAAAAGCACTTTGCAGTATGCTGCCATACTTAAGAGGGGATGCTTAGCAAAGAAACAAAGAAATGTTGAAGTCCTAATAGAGATTTCACTGTGAGCAAGCAGATCAGAACCATTACAGCAGTAAAAAATAGTTCTAGGAAGAAACATCTAGAACCAAATGAGCTGTACTGGATTTTACAAGAGTGCAGGTTGCTGAAATTACGTTTGGGGCTGTTGTGCAAACCCTCACTCAGTCCCCTCTCTTTTAGGGAAGCTCCTTTGTCCATGTGCAGGTGGCACAAGGCAGAGCTCAAACCCCTGTGGTGAGAGCAAGGAGCCTCCTCTGCAGCCTCTCCTCTCCTCCTGCAGTCCTTGGAGCACTCTGGGACAGGCTGTGCTTCTGAGAGCTGGCTGCTGCTGGGATGCATTGTACAAAGCCATGCAGAGAGAACAAAATCCTCTGCTATAACACTGGCAGACCTCAAAATGAGTCTGGGAATGGACAGCCACAGGCAGCGTTCGCCCCACGAGCTCTGGCTGGAGCACCGAGGGGCTGCACGGGCCAGGCTGCACCTTCAGGCCCATCCTGAGCCCCTGACAAGCCTCAGAACCGCTGCAAAATGAGGAAAATGTTGCTCTCTGCTTTGTCATTTCTCTCTACTTCCAGCTATAATACTGATACTCACCCCTCATGTGCACAGTAATAAATTAGGAACACGTACAAGATTATAAAGATGGTTGTTTTCCCTCCCTTTTCTTGTGCTAGTTAGAGATGAATGAGTTTAATCCTTGCTCTTTTTCTTTGTTGGTTATTTACTGTTATTTGATTATATCTACAAAAGGAAATTTTCTAATTTTCTAATTTCTAATGTTAATGGGATTTGGGGCATGTATAAATTATCTGACCCTGATACCCATTGTTGGATAAGTATTTCTGAGATGGATAACTGCCCACAGCCCCCTTCAAAATCCACCATGGTGCTTTTTATGCCTCTTATTTTTTTGAATCCTCTAAGAGGAACCTCCCTTCTCCCATTAAAAAACCTGTGAATGCTTTCAGAATTTGAAGAAACCAAATCCTTCTAATGGTTTTGCAGATGATTTGCTTAGGGTTGCAGTTCAGCTGCCTGAATTTTAAATCTTGATGTTATTTGCATTTGTATTACGTTAATCAGAACAACAGGCTGGCCTTACCCCCACAGATGGCTGATTCCCACAAGGGTGGGGGTTTGCTTTGAAATTGTTAAAAAATTCTATAAGTCTCTATCATTGAGTAAGTGATTAATTTTCCTACTAAATTTCCCTTTTTTAATAAGATTATAAACATAAGAGGTTCAATATTTGCAGTGCTAGGATTCACCTTCCCCAGCCTTTTTCAATCAGCATTATCAGTATTTGGCCCCAAGCCTGGTCCACATAAATCACGTGGGCAGGCAGTCACCCTCAGTGCTGCCATACAAATCTAGCAGGCTGACCTTTAAAATAACACTGCAGTGATCCCATTTTCCATGTCCAGAGATGTGTTTATCCTAAAGGGATCCCACTGCAGCACTGACTGCCGCTGGGACCCCGGGATCTCCAGTGCACACAGCGTGCACAGCTCAGAGGCTGCAAGATTTGGGGCATGGAAACCAGCACAACCCAAAGATGCCCGTGAGCCTCTGATTCGGTCTGAGCAGAATCAAATCCTCAAAGATTCCCTGGAGAGCTCCAGTAAACTCAGCTCTGTGGAGCACAGAGGGGGTGAAGAAAAAGAGGTGAAAGTGTTGGGGACATGAGGAAAACAATGGCAGTTCCTTGAGTTGAGGTAGGAAAGGAAGAGGGAATGTAACTCTTGGAGATAAGTCTTAAGAATGGGTGCAAAGAGAGAAGAGAAATCAGCTTGGCAAGTAGACACAGCTATCCTACAAGTTGCATTGTCCCCTGGGAAACACTTGTGTGTGGACGGATGGAATGTAGGAGAATAGGGATAGTGATGAAGGTAATCTCACCTCTAAGGAGTTACAGCTGCACTAATTATCAAGCATTAGGAACAGGCCTGCCATTAATAGGTCACAGCTAGGTCCAGTTAGGATGGGTATTGTAAAAGAGTAGGTTGGTTAGTTGAGAAGTTAAGTTAGAGCTGGAGTTTGTTAGCTGTGCTGTGAGGAGCTGCCCCTGAGACATCACCAAGAAGGCATGGAGCTTTTGTAATTAGATGACAACATTTGTGCAGCCAAAAGTTTGACTATTCTTTCTAAATGTGACAATTAGAGATATTCCCTCTTCCCACACGTCTTACTCCAAATAGAAATTAACTGAAATTGAGTGACAGGGGATTTAGTTTTCTTACAAGATCAGGTTTTCTATCTGACTCATGAAATGGCAATACATCTTGAATAAAAGTTTGGGAAGGACCAGTTTCTGCCAGACACAGAAAATTCCAGCTCAGGAGTCTGTGATGTTTCTGTAAAAGCCCATTTAACTTTTAGCAAATAATGAATGTTTAAACAAATTTTGAGTGAGGACGACCTCGGAAATAACAAGAGATTTCTTCTCAGTTTTAGCTAAGTTTTCCTGCCTTCTCAGAAAGTTCCCTGACCACACAGACTCCTGATTTACAC